TGCTTAAGGCAAGGAAAAGTTCCGCATGTAGCACAGTAAAAAGCCTTTGGATTTCGTGTTTGGTGAGGTTACGTTGTCTAAAAACAAAGTAGTTGCAACTGTCAATTCACTGGACATTATCCAAGCATAATACTTGATCCCCTGATAAGCCTTCCAGGTCCTTTGCACAGTACTTCTGGGTTTTGATTCCAAAATACTTGGTGTCGCAGAGTGGGGCTCGAGTTAGGCTAAACAAGGTACAGGTATTTTGCGATTTCACAAGTCGATTGTCTTTAATTTCAGGAGGGCTCCTTCTGTGTGTGCGGCAGCTGCGATGCTGCTGTCGCCTCTGTAACCTCCTGGCACGTTAAAGCCTGACCCTTATTGTGCAGGGATTCCTCGCAGCCCGCCCGCCACAATATCGCAGATAACTTGTGCCGTGATTTAGGAACTCAGCAGCGCTTCTGACACCTGGTGGTCACTTTTCGGGAGTGCACAGTCCAGAAATGCTCTCTCTGCAAATGGGGTCACGGCTGCCTGGCCCGGCAGCATTGCCGGCCGCTCGTTAGCTGTTTCCACAGACAGTTTTCATCAGGGAGATGTTATCCCTGGATAAAGTGGCGGATCATTCTTTTTTTCCTGATCGGGATGTAACTGTGTATAGTAGAGAAGGACCAGATGATTTATGAAAAGTTAAAATATTTTACTTTGTTTTAGAGCTTCGTCACTGTAAATAAATAATTAGATTCAAAATTAATTTCATGTTTAAAAACTTATTCTTCAAGCTGGCAGACTTGCCCGGCTCTGTTATTAGACAGATGAAGACTGGTAAAATTGCCTAGGCTTGAAATAATGTAAATGAATTTTTACATTTTGCGATGCTGGGGATCTAGCTCACGAAGAGCTCTCCATGAAGTATATCTCTTGTTGCTCAAATAGTTGAATAATCGTGCAAATAAAGCTGAGCTTGTATGTAGGACTGGGGTTTCAGTCAGCACACAAAATGTAGGTGAATCATTATTGCTCTAAAAATACGCTTCCAAGGTTGACTTCACAATTTATTGGCTCCTGCACATAATGGCAAGAGAGGTCAGCATGCTCTGACACAAGATACTGTGATGACTTGAGGCTATTACAAATCTACCAAAAGGAAAAAGGGAACAAAAAGGGCTCTAAACTGCTGAAAGAAATGTGCAGAGCAAAGTCTATTCTTTAAAGAGATTTAACTTCTGGGTTATATGTCCAGGCCTTTTTCTGCTGGGTGTATTACCCTGGTGCCTGAACTCATGGTTCGGCTGTTATTGCCGAAGTATTTCTTGGACTGAGAAGTGTGTGTCACAATCTGGTGTCTCTTGCTGCCAGTACTTGCACCCGGTACTAGTGAGAATAAAAGAGTAAACCATGGCAAGGGTTCCCCGCATGATTCCGATTTTTTTTTTTTTTTTTAAATTACTGCAGCTATGGGAATCCCTAAAGGCAGATTTTGGCCATGAAGTGTTACCACTTTCTTTGTATGTCTAGAAAGAGGTAGGAAAAAAATAAAAAAAGAAACCCTCGTGGCTGTACTTGGCTTGTAGCATTTTTTTCTAAGTTCATGCCAGCATTAACAGATCTGTCAGAACAAAGCAAATGTGTCATATTGGCAGCTGTTACTTATGAGTACTTTTTCTTTATTGCATTTTGTTTTGTAATGATTGAGAAGCTTTTATGTCGAGCTCTGCATAAATGGTACTGAGTGGGAGGGTATGGGCATGCTTTCTATTATTCTGCCCCTCATGCATGTCTCCTTTTTCGTCTTTCCAGAACCACACATTGAGCCAGCACGCACAGTGAGCCACTGGCACTACAGGACACCTCTCTGCAGAAGACTTGACGGTGGCACAGTGGGGAGGACCATTTGAACATTACATCCAATCAAAGTGTCATTTGCAACCCAGATGTAAAACTCTAATGATTTGGCCATGAGGCGCTGCTATTATAAGCAGCTGGAAATGAATATTAATGGAAGAGATTAAAAGTATTCCATGCTCAGTATTTTTTATTGTCCTGCTTCAGCTAGTGTACTTTAGAGCTTCTGCTTCTGACTGAATTTATAGTGTTAGATAAATCTGCTTTGATGCTGTTGCCCTTTGTTGCTTCTTGTATTATATTGATAGTTAAAGATTAGGTGTGATTTTTTTCTTTTTTGTTAACTGCTTTTTAATTGCAATTTTAGGTAACTGTGCTTTGTGATGTGATTGCTTGGCTATTGTCTGAATATTTCTTTTTAATTTTTTAATTAAAGACTAATGCTTTGATTGGATTTGCCAGTTCACCGGACAGTGATTAAAACTCTGTAATGAATATAATCGGTTTCAGTGCAACTGGATGGTTCTGCTTTATAAATGTGACTTAATCTGATTGCAATAACTAGTACAGCTCAATAAAGGGAATACATGAGCTTAGCGTCAGAGGTTGTCTGTCTGTCAGTGCACGCTGCATCCCCACTGCCGCTGGTCTGTGTGAATCACAGCGCGAAGGCTCACCTGGCAGCAGAGAGCGTTTGCACCCCGGGAGGAAGGAAGATTGGGAGAGAGCAAACGCCACATTCCTGCGTCTGGCACTGCATTCTCGTCTGGATGCACCTCCCGGGCTCCCACGGTAGGTTGAGGTGAGGTAAGAACATCTACTCTGAGACTGCGCGCGAAAAGGCATTGCTAGCTTTTAATACTCTTAACTTTTACTCTGGTCAATGAGAATGGAGGGGACTTGGTCTATAGCTGCCTTTGCCCTATCTCTGTGCTTCTTTGTTTCAGTAAAAATAAGTAATAGTTTTCTGGATTGTGTACAAATGCGGAAATATTGGAACTGGCCTTCGGAACCTTGGTTGGGGCCTGTATATTTCAAGCACATGGACTTTAGGCCCACAGGTATTGTAGCTCTAGGTAACTGCCATAATTCTGACACTTGAAACTACCATCATGCAGCCTAACAGCTCATTAGCAGCCTTTTTCTTTTTCTTTTTAAACATATCATGTGGTAATGAGGTAAGTTACATCTCTAGCCAGAGAAACAGTCATTTTATGGACCGTGGACAACTTTGGAAAGTTGGTAAGATGCAGTTCTCATAGGATCTCCTGCTTGAGTGAATCATAATTGTGCTGAAAGATGTTTAGCAGTTGTGACAGCTGAAATGATGTGGTTACCCATTCCCACAATGGATAAAGCTTTGCAAGACTGTGGCATAGAAACAGTTAGAGCTTTTCAAAACGGCTGTGCTGAACTAGAGCACAAGTGATTGTCATTGTATTGTGTCTGGGCTTGGAGCATTTAAGTGATATTTTGTAGAAAAAATGTTTTCAAGGATATGTCGTCAATGCCCAGGTTAGTTTATATAGTGAGTTTATTAACAAGTGCAAGAGCACCGCTTGTTGACACTGCAGACGATGTTTTCAACATTTAGGTTGCTGCTGATGTTGATAGTCGTGCTGCACACACATAGCTCCTTCAAGACAGTGGGACATGCTGCATGTAAGGGAAGGATCCTGGACATAACTGAAGTAGGGTCATCCCTACAGCAGGAAGTGCCAGAGCAGGGGTAAGTTCTAGCTTGAGAAAAGCTTCAACTTTTTCAAAAAAATGAAGTTTGGGGTAGATGATAGATATGGGGGTTTTTCTGCCAGTCACTCTGCTGAAATAGCATTGCACAGACAGTCAGAGTTAAGGCTCAAAATTTTGGTCTGTGATAAATTTATGGATCCTAACATAACAAAACTAGGAATGGCTTTTCCTAATTCAAAAAATACAGTTCTGTTTTCATCTAGGTAATTCTTAGCTCACTGTTTATGCAACAATATCATTGTACTAAGACCTGTTTCTATAAAAAATGTTAGCTTTCTGCCTGATAATTCCTCTATAAGCCACGGCACAGATGTTTACGGGCTGAAAAATTAGCTAATGAAATCACAGGTTCATTATTCTCATTCATAACGTATGCATACTTCTAACTCACAAGCAACACTTGAAGAAGATGGGAAATGGAAAAATGTCTCGCAGTACAGCATTCCACACGTGTGCTTGTAAGAAAAGCTAGCTTGGAGCATACATCAGCTGCTCTGGTAACAGCACCTGTGCCGTCTTCTCCGTGCTAAAAACAAGGGAGCCGGTTCTCACAATGGAGATGCTGAAAAAGGAGGCTTTTTGCCTGAGTCTGGGTTTGGAGTGTTGCTTGATCACTTCTGGGCAGGCCTTTGGAAATGAAAAGAAAGATGTAGGTTTCTGTCTTCAGGAAAAGGTTCTGTGTTGGGAATCCCAAGAGTGAACTGATGTTTCCATGCAAGTCTGAGAGCTGCTTTAGTAGTGCTGTACTCAAGCACATGCCTTTGTCTTGGCATCTCCCTGCTGACTAGTTAAAGCTAGGTGTATATTCACTGTGCTGGGATGGGGAGCTCCCCCTGTGGGGATCCTGTTCTGAGCTGCATAATTTTCTCCACCTGTACTGGAAACGTGGGCATGGGGCAAGGGTGCTGGACTCCACACTCAGCCTGGCAGTGCCAAGCGTGTTGCATCTGCCTTGAACCCTGACCAGACCATGGGCAAGGGTGGAGGAAAAGAATAGTCTGGTTTTCCACGCCGCCTTTAGAAGGTAGGGGACCTCAAAGTACAGGAGTGAGGGCTGTAGTCCTGCTCCATCTTCTTCATCCCTTCTGGTGTATGAGTTTCATTCATGAGCAGCACAAGTTAGGCTGGAGAGAGTGCCCCCATGGCTGGGAAAAAAAATTGAGCTGTGGTCCTCTCCTGCCAGTGCTCTGGTATCTTACAGTACTGGAGTAATATTTGAGTGGGCAAATGCTGCTTTTTTAAATTTGTTTTCTAAGACAATATGTACGAAAGTGCAAGAACACTTGCCATGAATCTGCTGGGTTGCTTTGTGTTATTTTTGGTATAACCAGGCCCATATAAACAGTCACTGTTAGAGCACACACTGTGGCAAGGAATGGTGCTGTCTTGATATCTACTTTTTTAGGGGCCAGAGAAATCCAGTTTGGGTGTGGGGGTGAAACCTACTGCAAAGAAACAGATGGATAGCCGTCCCTCTGCTCCTGCATCTCCGACACGCTAGACACCTACAGCTCCCTGAGTCGGTCCTTAGCCTAGGCTAGGGTGCAGCACTGCTGTCGGACCCTTTTTTCTGAGGCCTGGGCCTCCCCAGGCAGGGCTGCACCAGCCAGGGCACCGGGTGACAGAGTTCTGCGTTCGTCTGGCAGTTCCCATGAGACTGGTTTTTCTGTGCCACTTGTCCCACTTGGGAGCAGGGGCAGAGCAGCCCTTGTGCTGGTACAAAACACAGTTTTGCTGGCATAGCTGCGATCACACCAGGGAGTGCTTCACCAGCGTAGTATATAGTTCCCGTATCCGTTAAAAGCTCCTAGGGAAAACAGAGCCTGACTGCAGGTGGGGAAAGATAGTATCACAGCTTTTGTGATATTACATGTTTGAGGCTTCACCCCCTTTTTCCTAGTGGCCAAGAAGTGCTATAGAAAGCATTTGGAAAACAATCAGAAATGTTGACTCCAAAAGCACCTATATTTCAACAGCTACCACACGCTGAAAATGTGATGGAGAGCCTTTCTGTAATCCCCGTAATATTTCCTTGCCTGTCTGCGTAACTCGTGGCTCCTGCACAGTGGTTCTGCAGACAAGGGCTGGCTCAGGCTGCTGAAGACGTGGGCGACGTGGATGACTCACAAGTAAGTGCAAAGCAGAATTGCCAGCACTCTTGCTGAGGATGGGCTTTAGGCAAAAAGTTATTTCATGATCTGAGTGGTATTAAGGCCAGTAGAGTTTGGAAAAAATGAAAAAAGTTTTAAATCTGTAAAGAAATATTGTATAGACAGTTCAATATCTTTAAGTTTAGGCAAACACTGAAATATAAGCTTGTATTAACAATGAAATAACAAAGGACTTGTAGGAGCCCAGTCTGATAGCCCTTAATGCATTGAATGGTCTTTGCATTTAGCTTCACTATATGCCCATACATTCAAAAAGCATTGAAATATCTAGTCAAGAAGTAGCAACCAGTGCCTACAGGTGTTATATTGTCTACATAGTCAGCTTTACACATTTGTTTTATTCAATTCTTCTTGTAGATATTTGTCTGATCTATCACCTTCAGCAAGGGGTCACCACCTTCAGTCAGATGCCTTAGAGTTTTGGAAAAAGCAAGCAGTCAGCCCATTGCCTCTGAAAGAAAGGGAGAGAAAAGAAGTTTGGGGACCATTTGAGGGACTGAGTGACTGATCATTTTGTGCTGGAGCATGTTTGAGTGAGCTGGAGAAGGTCACCCCACTGAGCAGCAGCTCAGACGGATTGTGAAAGGGAAAAATCAGAAGGGTGAGGGGGCCAAGGCAGATGTCCCTCCACAAACTTCCTGCCCTCCAGAGCAGTTAATGAAAAATCCACCCTCTGGCAGCCTTTTCCATTGCAGTCAATCTGCACATCCCATGTCCCAAACACTATCTCACTTTCTCCTACCAATGTCTTAAGAGCAGATTTGGTTTTGATGTATTTTTCCAGCTTTTAACATGTGTAGATCACTCTCTAGTACAGCCAGTGAAGACTTTTCCCCTAGTCTGTGTAAGTGGTCTCTGCATTTTGGCCCACACCCTGAAGGAGTCAGATTTGTGCAATCCCCTCTCCACTACCTCACAACCGCTGACCAGCTTTAGCTACGTTTGACAGAGGTGCAGATGTCTGGGGATAGCGTATCCCTGCGGTGTGCTGGCAGTAGTCAGCCAGGATAAGAGTGATGCCCTGAAAGTGCTGTCACAGACAAAAGCATGTGAGCTCAACGCACATATGGCCACAGAAACCCAGCTGGCCAGAGACACAGTGGCCACCAGACTTTGGAGCTAATGGGAGCGTGGCTTGTTCTTCATCGCTTTGTCTTTTCTCCGCATTTTTGCCTCTTGTGAAATTGTTTAGTTTTACCTGTCTTCAGGATATTACTGTCATCCTCAAAACTCTAAGATGCCTCCCCTCCAAATGGCAACCAGGGCTTGCCTTTTGATCTGTTTATCTGTGAATTATAGTTACTTTCCTGAGGCTTAGCAGATTAGGTGACAGAGGGAGACAGGAGGTGTCCAAAGGAGAAACACTGAGCACCTCAAGAGAAAGACAAGCTAATTACTGCATCACCTACAAGATTGCTAACAAAGTACGGTCTTCACAGCCCTAATAATGAGATGCAGTTTAACTGTGCGATTGTCCTTTTCTGAAGAAAAAAAGCGACACGTTTTCCCTGTATTCA